ATATATATATATATATATATATATACTTACTAACATAAAAAACAAGTGGTAAAAAAACCTGTAATGTTTAATAAAAACCTACTAAAAATGTAAAAACAATTAGGATAAGAACCAATTATAGAAATAATACAAACGATCACATCTTGAATAAATAAGCTGTCTCAGTTTCCTCAAAAACTGTTTATCCAAAATTGGAGGGCAATATAGAGTTGGTAGTGAAAAAATATTAAGACCCATGAACATTTATTACACGAAACTTAAGACTAATCAAACCTTAAAGCAGCTAATAAAAAAATAGCAATTGTGGAAGACAAATTACTTTAAAAATATAAGATCGGAATACTAACCATGATGGTCAATATTCACGATGAAGATATTTGGGCACATACAGTATTTAATATTTTACAACTGTTTATGAAAGCATTTGCTAGCAAAAACAACTGTGCCTATTCATTTAATAATATCTTATATTTTTCTTGTTCTATTAACTGTGCTAAGCAAATATGTGAATTTTTTTTTATCAATTTACCTTGGGTCAAGCTCCTAGGGTTAGGAGGAAAACGTGATTCTTTAGCATAACTCTTGATGGCCGCTGAAAAAAGAAAATGATGATGACAAAACCTTGTCGAAACACTGTACATTTGCTGTTATGTTAAACTTATATTAGTTTTTTTTCATGACCCATTCAAGCCATCTCAAAGCATTAAAATAAACTTAAATAATGTTAAAAGTAATATGATTATCACTTTCATTAAGATAATAGATTTTAAAAGCTTTGACAAAGTTTCCTTAAGTTCAGAAACTCCATAACTTATTAACCTGTAGTAGTGGGAAACTTAATGGTTTAAACATTTTTTTATTTTATTTATAAAGATTCATCCTTAATACTTAAAAAAAGTGGCTAGCTTTCTGTTTAAACACACCTTCAATTGTGGTAAAAGTGTCCTGAGGTTTTCCTAGTGGAGTTCGAAGTTTGTTTGTGACACAAGCTAAAGCTGACTCCCATGTTGCCCAGAACCACAATGCTGGGCTGTAACTAAGGGCTAATTTCATAAGCCTCCTAGATGACTTATCTGATCGCTGACAGCTCTGAAACAACCTTATTGGCCAATCTTTGTCCCTAGTTCAAGATATTAGTAGTATTAAATATATATATGCACATTCACTGGATATATAAGCAACAGTACATATTTACTTAGTTGTTGTTCTGGATTCAACTTATTTTATTACCAATGAAAAAAATTATAACTTATATTTGTATGGTTCAGTATGTTACAAAAAAGCAATAATGAATAATGGTTAAAACAGACTGGAAACCATTAGAATCAAGTCATAAAAAAATGGACATGATTTAAAAGCATAATCTCTTTACTACATTCCCTCAAACAGATCATATCAGCCTACATCAGAAACTGATGGCTGCAGTTTTGTAGTGAAGAGATCCAAATTAAGTGACGAAATGAAATACAATCAGAAAAATTACTTGCTTGCTTTAAAAGTGTAAGTATTTCAGTTTTGTGTTTTTCAAAAACAGCTCCCCCCCTTTTGTACGAGCCAACAACACAAAATCCTAAACTTTACCCTTGGGATCATTTAATAACAAACTAACTATCAGAAACAATAATTAACCCACTTACTTGGGATGAGTTCCATGAAGGATGAATCCCATAACTGTTCTAAAGTTATGAGAATGAAAAGTACCACCAGAGAAGTGATTCATGTGGCTTCTACGAACCTGCCACAATTGTGATGGGGTAACCTCCAGGTAGCTTTGTTGGTGTATTCCAAGTTTTGTAATATTCATAGGAGAACTGCTACATAAAGAAAATTACATTTCTCATCTCATATAGGTAATGACATACCCAAATCATAACAGCCCTAACATTTGTATAAAAAAAACAAAAAACAATCTAACAGTATTCTGTCTGGTAAGTTTATAGTAATGTACAACTTTACCAAATAATATTGCCTGTGGAACTCTTAGAATTTAACACAGTTAAACTTAAGTCACCCATATATCAAAACAGTCCCTTTAATATTTTATGTTTGTAATACCAGTAAAAAATACATTTCATACTTAATACTCTACATAACTACTTGAGCATAATACAAGTAGTAATAAACACAAAAAACAGTAACATATTTTACATAAAATACTGTGCAATCTTAGAAATTCATAACCTATAATAATTTACACTTTAAGAGTTCAAGCTCACCTAATTACAATATCCAGAGGCAAAAGAACAAGCAAAGAAAGAAATTCTCTCCTGACATTTTCATCAACATCATTTATCTTTAACAGACAAAGTTCAAAGCATCTGAAAAAAGTCAATTATATAATGTATTTCAACTGAACCATTTCTCACAAAACATAGATTATATTTGGTTGCTCTATTCTAATGTTCAAAACTCAAAAACTAATCATCAGAGTTATCGTATTTGGTATGTGAACTAATGAGGTGATGGAAAAGCAATTCCAGTGAAAACAAAAATGTCAATAAGGATGCTGATCATTAGATATGCACAGCCAACATGTTAATAATGTTCAAGTCCACTATTCACTGCATTTGTGAAATAGAACTACATGCAGCTGAACAATTATCTAATTTCCAACAGTTACACTTGGAGTCATACACTGTCTTTCATGACTGTTAATGTAGCATGCATGTCATGATAGACTACTGACCTGAGGTGACTCCATAGCCAAATGCTTTTACAATCTGTACAAAAAAAAGTACAGAGCACCATCTTCTATCAAGACTGGTTTATTCAAAACTCCTCTTTCTTGAAGAAATGAAGTAGCAACGTATTCAAACTTGGATCTGTGGCATTCATCATCCAGAATGAATCCTGAACAGTCTGATGCAGATTTTAAATGGTCCAATAAACAAACTTCACATTCAGCAAACCCACTATTTATTTTAAATACTGTAATCACATTTTGTATTATTTTAGTAGTCAATGTATCAAATATTTTAGCTCTCTAATGATTAGTATGAGTTACAAATATTAGAATAGGTAAAACTAAAATATCCCTGTCTAGAGCTTCATACTGAAGGCATGTACAGGGATATTTTAGTTGTCATTCTATTAACATTTTAAACAAAAATATTATTCTCTTATTACTTGACATGTTTTTGAACATTAAGTCATTTTTTCAATTTTTATCTGGTTATGCTATTTTAAATTTATTCAAGCTTTGCTTCAAAAATTAATTAGATTTTATATCATGTGATTCTTATCTCAAACTACACAATCTTTACATAATGCTTCAGACTAAAACAAATTGATTCATAAAGACTAATGATTTGTTTAAACCCACATTAAACCATCGAATGTCTAAAAATTTCAGTATATTATTACATGAAAGCATTAAATTTTGTTCAGATAAAACAATACAGTCATTAAAAACAACAACAAAAAGAGAAAAAGATGTCTTATGTTATTTTTTTTATCATTAATACTGTGTACCCTACCTTTTAAATAAATATTTTTTGTACAGCGTAGCTCCAGCTCTGATAATGATCTGAAGAGGAATACAGCATGAAACACTGACATTAGGGTCAAGTGAGTAACCTGCAAATACATTACAGGATTCTATTTAGTAGTTAACATGTATAAACTTACTGACTCTTTCAATAAACTATTCAAATTTAAGGTTTTATACAACTTAAAAAAATGCATAAATTTGGTACAATTTTGGATACCAATTTGATTAAGAATTTCCACAAAATTTAGGATCTAAGCCAAGGATGTAAATTTTATTTTCAATGTATATAAAATCATGTTACAGTACAATATTCATTCAATAGCAGTTTTTAACTTATAACAAATATTACAGCTTATTTACTTGTTCAAATTACTGGAATAAAAAAAAAAGTAATAAAAAACAACAATAGAGTTCAAAACAGCTATATTTATAATCAAGCACAACATGATGTACTTCTACATATTAAGTAATTCAATTTTAGCATAAAAAATTTAAATTTGATAATTTCCTAAATGTATTTTAGTTACTAATGAACTTAAAATATTTTTAGATATGCTAATTATTTCATAGAATACCTCACATGACAATAATGCTGCCATCTTTGTGCGAAGCTACACAATGGACTATTTGCATTCTGTTCACTGCAAGGAATTAAACTCTGGATTTTAATGTTGTAAGGTTCAAAAATTTACTGCTTTCCCACTGAGTGACTCGTATGACAAAGTAAACAAATATTACAGCACACTGAAAATGTATAGTAACTGTTAATGTGGCAAACTATATCCCGAGTGTAAATACAAAGTCAGTTTATCAAAATAAAAAAGTAAAACTGAAATACTTGATATCCTAAAGTTGTATAAAATTTATCTTTAGCACTAAAACTCAAGTTTATAATTGACAGCAAGTAAAATCATAATTACTGTGGTTACCTCGTAAGCCATATGTATGAGTCCCTTGCATAGGATTTTGTAAAGTTCAGGACATAATAAAACTTTTGAAAACTATTTAACTGCCTACTTTTTCTTGTATGTTGCTTTCAAAAGGACAGTTCTATTTATTTCAACTAAGTTTTATTAAAATGTTCTTCTCACCTCTGTTGAAAAATATTGCCTTATTATATTTATAACTAACTACCATTAATTTCATGTGGATTCTGAACACAACAATTAATTTTTCAAAACAGAAAGCAGATTTTTCAATATATTAGAATTTTTAGTTCACTCAACCAGAAACATACAAGATAACCAAAAGGTAAGCTTTAGTGATAGCTTTACACATAGAAGATAATCAGAAAGCAAAGTAAAGGGAGTTTTTAAACATGTAAAAACATAAAATATCCATAAAGCAAAGTTTACTTACTTTTCACAACCACACACATAAAACATAATGAAGAAGTAAAGTTTGGTGACAGTTTTACATAAATAAAACCATACAAGTAAAGTTGAGTGATAATTTTACATAACTAGACGCATACAAGATAACCAAAAGTCAGTTTATTGAAGCTGTATAGAACCAGAAACATATAATAACACCAAAAAGCAAGTTAATAATAGTTGTTTTATAAAACCATTTTTCAACTACAAACCATATCTAAAGAATAATAGGTAAACAGTTGAATTTTTGATAGCAGCAATGCATAGTACATTTTACTAAGAGCATAAGTACAAAAGCAGCAACATGATATGTTTAATGTGGCATCAGTTATTTCAGAAACAGGGCTTACCCAAGTTTATAACAGCTTTTACTAATCTAATAAAGTCATGATTTTCCACAACCCTGGAAAGATGGTGTTGAATCCCCTCCACAACTTCTTGCACCCACCAAAGACAGAGAAGCCTACAGTAAAATTTACAATACTTAATTTTTCTATTGTTGTACAGATGCAAACTTGTGTTCTCTTCAATCTCAAAATAATACAAAAAGATTTTGATATAATTAATTTTACTGACTATGTCTGTAAACCAAAATTTGAAAGATAATTAACATATCACAGTAAATGAGCCTTGTAACCAGATTTAAATGTAATGTCCAGGATGAAATATGAAGGTTTCTTTATTAGCATAAAAGCGATGTAAATTATCTATGGTCCTAATATAACTGATAAAATTTTCAAATTAAGCTTGTACCTGGTATCATAGCTAGCTTCTTTTTGCTCCAAAAGTGAGGATAACAAGGTCAGGATTGAGGTCAAGTGACCACTGCTTGGAGGAGGCACTACAGACATTGTGGTCAGAATAGGGGAACTGTGACCAGCTGTGGGTGGTACAGAAGTAGGGCTTGGACTCACTAGAAGACTACTTGACACAAAATGACCATGTCTGAAAGAAAATTGTTTACTTAGTAAGTTCTATAAAAGCAACAGTGTGGCATATAAATAAGTAACAAAAATAAAAATTGCAAGGATAACAGCAAATAAACTTACTATACAAAGAGCATCAAGATTGAAAATGACATTTGAATATCCACATATTTAACTTCTTACCTTTATAATCAAAGTTAATTTATTATGTAAAACTCAAACTATATTAAAATACCTGGTACAGTGAGAGTAAAGGACATGTAACATAGAGTACTGAATAGCTGGATGCTTTTTGGCAAGATGTGTTGAAGATGGTTGGAGATGGGTTGCAATCAGATCAAAAAATCCAGGGTTCAGGGCCCACATCTAGCATTGTATATATATAAAGTTATTAATAAACACCAGGCAAATGAAACAAATCATAACAAAAACTTAATTAAATAAGCCATTGACAACATATTATAGAACTGGAAAATCATTCTATATTTGTTCAGGAGAGTAATAGTAATAGCCAAAACAAAAATTATAAATATTAATAATATCAGTAATAATCATGTAAGTATAGTATAATTCATTTTCTTTAATGTCTCAATGAATCAAACAAAAAACTGTTTATATTAGAAATTGTTAAGATGAAATACATGTTATTTAGAATAGAGCACTCAACAAAACTTACAGAATTATTTTTGTTTGAGTGTACTACTGAAAGCACAGTTATAACTAATTATTTACATTTCTTTAGTGTTTCTAAACAGTTTTACTCAGTATGTCAGTGGTGTTTATCTGCAGAAACAAGAAATATGTTTGAATAGAGTTGTTTAAACTTTTGTTTAACAACAAGTAAAAGCTTGGAATGGTCAATTCTTTGATTGGGGGTGTGTCTGTTAAACAAATGTTTAAACAACTATTCAATTATGTACCAGCTGCCTAGTGTTGGCTAACAATACGAATAATTAAATTGTGGTGGAACGCTACAAGTTCTTCAAATACTTATAGAATGATAGCTTTTTTTTGTGAGTGTAAAACACTTAAATACACCATTTCGAAGAATAATATTTGCTCATTTTAATGATGCTTCTTATATTTTTCACTTTTTTTATTAGACATCACACTATACTGTAGAAGCTCAGAGAACAGACAACATACTGCCACCTTATAAATTTCTAATGTCTCTACATATTGATGTATACTGATAAAACATACAATACAGATACTGTTCTCTAAGCCTATGCAGTATAATAAAGTGTGGTCAGAACTTATTGTAATGCCATAATATATCAAGAAACTTACCATTAACAGAAAAGATATTAAAAAAAAAAATTACATTGTTTTCGCATAAATAGAAACACTCAAACAGTTTTATTTTGCAAGAGCTACAGTTACTCCAACAGTTTTTAATTAAGAGATGCACAACTCATATATGTTGTTGTTTTATTTAATAAAAAGTTATAATTTTCCTATACAGGAAATGTATATCCAATATGTACTTACCTCCACTCACATAAATAACTATTTTTGTTCAGTACAGCACTCTTTGGAGAAAACAATTTTTATAAAGGCCACAAGTCTTCCCCCCCCCCCTGGAATTGACTAATTTCAATATGTCTCTCATGCAATTCATCATGTAACAACCCTCCACCAATAAGAGTGTAATATACTCTCATTAAGCATGTGACTCCCTCTATTCAATTCTACCTAACTATCTCTTCGAGTTCTGGCAGAAAATGGAAGTACCAGTTTTCAATGGGAGGAAGGGTGGAAAGAGACAAGTACCTATCAAAAATACATTTTCAGTATAGGAAAATTATAACTTCCGATACAGTACGTTACCTCTGTCCACACAAGTAATTGGAATTCCACATTGAATAGGTGGAGGGACCAGTGCAAGGGAAGAAAGAAGCATCCAAAGGGACAATCGATAAAATGAGATAGTCAATGAACCTGGGAAAAGGCTGCATTGTGCCCAAGAAGATTCCAACAACAAAGAAACTACGTGTGTAAAGCAAGAGCCAAAGATGACAAATGAGCCAATGTGGAGGTAATAAGGAAAAAGCTGTCCCTCAAAAACCATCAGGATCTCAGTGTATTGCCTCAGAAAGGAGATGGAAGGTAGATAAATAACACAGAAGTGAAGGTAAAACGAAGGCATGAAAACTGGGCATGGGTTAAATGCATAGGAAAAATCAGGGACCACCCCCAAACACAGGTAAAATAGACCCCAACTGATAAGAGTCGAGAAACGGAAAGTCAGCTTGATGGTAAGCCAAAGCAAATTGATTCGTAGCCCATGGAGGGCAAGGCATACTGGCACCCTCAACCAATTGTGAAGCAAATTGCTCAGCATGAACCATAATATCTGGGGAGGGTGGGAAAACTAAATACAGATAGGAAGAACTATCATGCAACAAAGAAGGATGGGGATCATTGGAAATGAGGGAAATGGATAAAACATCGCATATCTGAGAAATCATGTCTAAAAATACTGTATTAGGCCTAGCTGATTCTGCAGGTTGGGCACAGGAATACATACCACAATCAGGTGGTAGAAAAAGGCTATCAAAATCTTTATCGGCCTGAATGAGTTTGGCTTCTTCAAGAGGAAGTGGGGCAAGTTCAGGAGAAGGTGGTTGACCCATATACCGATCAATCTCTCGGCAGATAATAGCTGATAAATCCAATGATGGGTCACCCCCACCTGTAGTCTGTGAAAGAGCACTTGTAGGAGGTATGATACCTGAAGTGGTAATATGAACCTCAGAATTCATTTCAAAAATATGAATCAAACAAAAATGTTTGATAGACAAATGCAAATGTGAGAGAGAAAAAAAAAATACTGGGAAAATAAATCAAAGTAAAAGGCATCTTCAATATAATGAAAAATATTAATGAAGAAATCCCACTTTGGAATTGAAACTATTAAATTTATGAGTGCGAAGCACACAAAGAACACCAAAAGCAAAAAATGTCTGAACACTAGTACTGCCAAACTAGAAGTGATAGTTATGTTGAATTGAATAGAGGGAGTGACATGCGTAATAAGAGTATGTCACATTCTTATTGGTGGAGGGTTATCGAATGATGATTTGCATGAGACACATTGGAATTAGTCAATTCCAATGGTGGGGAGAAAAAAGGCTCGTGGGGTGACTAACAATTTTTTTGCCATATAGAGGGCGGCAATGAGCTAGAATAACTATTTATGTGAGCAGAAGTAATGTACCATATTGGAAAATATATAATGTTATGATAATACTTTTGTCACCATTTTAATGAATATTTCAGACAGATACATGGTAGACATGAAATTGAAAATGTGTAAGTACAGAAAAAAAAATACTCAGGTTAATATAAATGAAAGTGTTTCACACAAGCACAACACAATTTAATGTTGCAAACACTTTTCATAAAACTTATTTTTTTATATGAATTTACAATTATCATGTATGTAAACCTAATAAAACATCACTTTTCATGAAGCCCTATTACTGCCAAGGCACTGTAACTTTGTATTCCACAAGTGCCAAGCCCTCCGACTTTGTATTCAACAACTGCCAATAAAAGTTAGCACTTAAAAGTTTTTATATTTAGAACATATTTTAAAATCTAAATGATCATACATCTATCAAATTCATTCAAATAATTTTCTCTTGCTTAGAAAGAATGCAACTCACCCCAATGATAGAATGTTTAGCATTGCCAATCTCTGCAAGTGCACAGAGAGATGAAACAAAGGATATCCCAGCAGCCTTCTTGGAGCTGTAAGAGAAAGTACATCCAAGGCTGCTCTGACTGCTGGTAAGCTTGCATTCCTTCTCCATCAAGATAGAAAATGCAGCCTCTATGTCTCCTAAAATGTATTTGTAGGCTTCTTCCAGAACAGGAACATTCTTCAGTCTCAAAACCATGTGTTGTAGAGCCAGCAGTTGACTCTGTATCTAGGTTTTGAAAAATAAAAGTGGTGACATTTTTTAAAGCTAAACTTGTTTTTAAAATAAATTATAATGTGACAAATTTCCATTTCTTGGTACAAAGTACAGTAATTTGAAACAATGTTCTAGGCTTCCATTTTTCTTGTACACTGGAAAAAACATTATTACAATGTTTTACCAAGATATCACACCTACAAAAAATGCACTACAAATAAGATGTGTTATTGGGTTGTACAGTTATTTTTGTTTCATTAGAACCTTTAATAATTATTAGAAGTTGCTTCTGCCAAAGTAGAACTTTTAATAAATTATTTACTGTTATTTGTAACAAACAAGAAATATTAACCCTTCCATGATAGGTTCAGTATAAAATACACAAGTTTGTATACACAACTTTTAATGCTGTATGTGTATCTTCATAAAATTTGGTAGACTTTTAGTAATGATTAAAAGTCTTTTGTACACAAAAATCAGATTTTTATAATGAAGTATTTTTTACTAAAGATTCGTTTGTGATAATATCGAGTCTGTTTTGTAACTAGTCCGAGTGTGAAGTGATTTTCATATCATGATTAAAAAACTATTCTTCGTCACAAAAATCTTAAATATTATTTGTGTAATCTCTAAAACCTCCTTTAATACATTTCAAATGCTTGTTTTCAGTAAAACTTTGTATTTTGTCTGTTTTTTCTCTACCCTAACAATACGGGGTCTGTCAATTTGACTAACCTCATAACCACCATAGAAAATTAGGAAATAAATATAAATTATGCTATTTCATTCTAGAATGACTTCAAATTATAACACGAAAACACAAATATTTAGTCTAAATAACTTAAATCTCACAACATTATACATTTATATATAATTATTACTTTTATTATATTGACCTTTCAGTTGTGTGTGGCTTACAATACACAAGTTACAATGATGCAAAGCATGTGCACTCATGTACCGTATCCAATAATATAAAACTGACCAGTCTTTACACAGTGACCTGTCTTAGCTGTATTTTAGTGGACTAGTATTTTGTAAAATACAGTCACATTTGAATTATTATACATTATGTATGTATATAGATTATTACTATTTACATACAATTTCTTAAACTTATTTTTCTTAATCCATAAATTCATAAAATATTAGTTCAATAAAATTTTGAATGCAAGCCAACAAACACAATGACATGGCCTTTTTACCCATGACCCGTAGTGATAGGGTTAAAATGTTTTTTGAAAAATACCCTATTCCTTTGTAGAATTGGTGTTAAAACACTTTATTTTCACCTTGGTAGAACTTAAAAAATAGTGATACTTACATTTTTACTTGGATAAAACTTCAGTTTGTAACAGAGGCTCTCAGGGGAAAAAACAAACTTCACAAATGCAACTGTCAACTGTGTGTTAAGAACATTTACACACTGAATCAGTAGCTGAAGAATGGACAGCAAGTGGGCTTCAGATAATTTTTCTACAGGCTGTAGTTGAAAGACTTTGAAGTATAACAGTAGCTTGTCCATTGCAACAACTGCGTGTGACTGAGTGTTCAGTAGAAGCAACATAATGCTCTCATTGGCTGTAAAATAGCACAATAAATACCATACAACAAATTTTAAGGCTTAAAACTTTTGTTTAACTGGTACCATCCTACAAAGTTGAAAATAGTGACTTAATTTTTAAAATACCGGAATAAAATAAAGAATTGAAAATACTAGATTCATTGTATGTTTTCAAAATATGATGCAAAAATCATAGTAGTTCAATTTCCTTTTAACTTATGAAAAAGATACAAATGTTTTGATGGTATTATTTACATACAAAAAAAGACAATAAATTACAAATATTTAAGAGTAAAATTTTAAAGTATCCATAAAGATGTATGAAGCAAGTTATAATCAGGCATTTTAAAGTACTATCATAAAGCATATATTTTTACTATCAACAATGTAAAAACACATCCAAACTAGTTGACAGATGTGAATCTAAATAGAACTTTTCAGTTTCATATGTATTTTGTTTTTAAATAAACAAGCTGATAGAAATAGTTTTACTGATAATGGCCACCCAGATAACAAAATAATAATAGATCTCAATGAAACATATTTTAATAGCTATGCCCAAGTAATCAAGAAGTTGTTATAAAATAATAAGCTTGCTTTAACTTAGGGTTCAAATACAAAAAGTTTAGTTGTCAACCAATTTATATAAAGTAACCAACCAGCTGTTAAAAGAAGTTCTTGATAGGTGTACTCGGAAGTCAACATCACACTTTTCAAAAGACTTTTCAAGTTCTGAAACCACAAATTTTACAATTATATATTCAATCTGTTCATTGTTGAGCTATATGCACACAGTATGCAAAACATGTTCCTAACAAAAACTTATAACATGTATAAGTTTCCATACTTGACTGCATATTTAACACTGCTATAAGATTTTAATAGATGGAACACTGACTGTGTAGTAAACTAGAACATTGTGAAATCTAAGAAGAAGTGGATGCTCAAGTAGTGAAAGTTGTGCAGCCAAATCATGGCATGGGTTTATTATTACACAAACAAGTTGGTAGTGAACTATGTATTACTTAAAGCATTTATATGAAAAATGTAACAAAACTTAACATATCAATAGAAATTACAACTTCAACATAACTCCTGAAAAAAATGTGAAGGACTAAACTTTGCTTCCTAAAAATAATTACATGATAAATAGTACAATTTTATAAAAAATTATTCAAAATAATGAGAGTAATATTTTTTTCCCCTTTATATTCACATAATATTCACCAATACAACTCAAAAGAAATGTGTCAAGCACATTGTTGGTGTTAATGTGCTTTGTAGTCATTATGAGAAAACATATCCAATGTATAGGTTTTTATCATAGTGCCTACAAAGTACATTCACAACAGTATGTTTGATACTTTTCACTATGATATAGGTCCAGTTTATCTCTTTTTGGTTAACTTGTGTTCAGGGTTACTGATGAGGAGTGGAATTCTCTGAAACAAGTATAACCCAATAACACACATTGATCAAAGTGTAAATTGAACTGTACCTCCCTTTAACTTAGACTTTGAGATTAAACCATTTTCGGAATACTAAACATGTTTATTAAATAACAAGAGTTTCACTCTGTCATCACAATAATACCCAAATTAGCATAAAATAGTCACTGTACAATTACTAATAGAATTATGAATATAAACTTCTGGGTGAAAATAAAGAGAAGTGTATAATAATATGTCAAAGACTGTATAATCAGCCGTATCCACTGCTGATGATGCCTTTCACCCAATACCAGAGCCTTTCAGGTCAGCTGGAATACAACAGATGTAGTACTGATTGAGACACTATTTATAGTAGCAAATTGCCTGACCAATTATTTTGGAATGAAGTGGATTAAGTTCGTGAAGCATAATTTTCATTAAATTTATGTGTCACAACATACCAGAATTATGGGAGGAATTCTTAACACTACACGAGTTATTCAAAACTTGAATTAACCCTTTCGTTCAGTATAAAATACATGAGTTCGTATACACATTTGCATACATTAAATATTTATACTATAACTTTTAATGCAGTAAGCATATCTTCACAAAATTTGGTAGACTTTTAGTAGTGATTACAAGTCTTTTTTACACAAAAAATCATATTTTTTTTAATAAAGTATCTTTTACTAAAGATTTTTTTGTGAAAATATCGAGTCTGTTTCGTTACTAGTCTGAGTGCAAAGTGATTTTCATGTTATGATTAAAAATTATTCTTCGTCCCAAAATCGCAAATATCATTTGTGTAATCTCCAAAACTTCCTAAATGCATTTCAAATGCTTGTTTTCAGTCAAATTTTGTCTTAATTTCTCTACCCTAACTGTCTGTCAGGGTCTGTTAACTTGACCAACCTCATAACTACCATAGAAAATTAGGAAATAAATATAAATTATGCTTTTTTTTTGTTCTAGAACAACTACAAATTATAACATGGAAGCACAAATATTTAGTCTAAATAGCTTAAATCTCATAACATTATACATTTATTTATATATCTAGTATTTTTTTTTTTTTTTATTATTGACCTTTCATTTGTGCCTGGCTAACATTACAGAAGTTGCAATGATGCAGCACACATGCACTTATGTTACCATATCTAAGAATATAAAACTGACCTGTCTTGGCTGCATTTTAGTGGACTAGTATTTTGTAAAATAGTCACTTTTCAGTTATAATACATTACATATGTATATACATTATCACCATTTATAAACAAGTTCTTAAAATTTTCTTAAAACATAGAACAGTAAATAAAGAAGTATAACAAACAATTATCTCTTCTAGTTTGCTGCTTGCCTTATCAAATTTCACATGTGGAGGATGTGAAACAAAATCTTTTTTTTTTCACACACACACACACACACACACCAACCAAAAGTCATAAATTACTATATCAATACCATAGTATTCCACTAATTCATCAAACTTAGTACTTAAGCTGTATTTGGGTCTAAAAAGATATTAAATTTCGAGCTCACTGAAGCCTCACCTTACCAGCATGAAGATTTGTATCGAAAGAACATAATGACATCATAATACTTGAAAATGGCTGATAAAGCCACTAGGGGGACATTCTGAGCTTTCAATTGGTTATTCATGTCATATACGGAAGAAAGTGTATACAAGGGACCATTTCCAAAAATGGAAAGAGATGAGTGGAGCCACTGTGTTTGATTCAGTACACGAGAGATATCTCAGCACATAGAAAAGACAGGAGGTTCAAAACTACAGACTTTGTATTTTGACATCACAAACACTTAATTTGAACCAGTGCTTCATTCAACATACCAGGTGACACACAAATATCAAAGTTTAGGTGTTTTTTTTATATTTACTTTTAAATTAAGAAATCAAATAATAAATAATACTAAAATTTGAATTATAATCTACAGTTTGATACCAAACTTGTCATATATTCATAAGATAGTAGTTCAATAAAATTTTGAATACAAGTCAACAAACACAACATGGCTTTTGACCCATGGCAATAGGGTTAACCAACTCACCATTCAGAACTAATTATGATAATAGAATGGACAAAAGCCAAGCTTCATATTTAAATCCTCAAAAAAAAAAATAACTATACTGAAAATACAGATAAAGTGAGCTTATCTTAGTTTTTAATTTTTTTTCAAGTAAACACATTAGCTTACCTCTGTTAGAAAGTCCCATGTCACTGCAATGCTTTCATTTGGAGATGCACTTTTTCCAAGACTCTTCAGTACAGTTGTAAACACTCTGGTCATGAAAATATATTGAACTTTCACTTTTGGAATCTTAATATTAGCGGTATACATACTTTATATTTAACAAACTGTAACAAAATAAAGGAATTTGTAGGTACACTAGATCTGAACAAACCAGTAAACTGGACTTTAAGTGCACACTGTCAACACGTATTGTTTAAATAGTTTTTTTCTTTAGAATTAATGGTTAAGGTACTGAAGGTTTTCTTACCTTCAACAAAACTCAATAAACTACCTACTTCTTTGTACCAAGATAGAACTTTTTTTTTTTACTGTGCCCAAGCATTTCAAATACTGGATGTTGGTTGTGTACAAAATTATATTTACTTTAAATATGATTATACTGTGGTATTATATGCCCATGTAGCCTGTATACAATATCATTCCAAAATTGAAATATAAAATCAGTATAGTGTAATTATCAACACTACCACTTGTGATATTAAAAACAATTGTCTTGTTTGACTTTGATTAATGCAGCCATAAATGGCTGCATTAAATCAAAGTCCTTTTCTGAAGGAGAAATTAAAAAAATTCTTGACTTTAATCAGCATTAAATATTTTTATTGTTTAACAGTTAGTTTTAAATATTTGGTAATTTTTCTTGGAGTACATGAAGACTACAAAGTTAAGTAAAGCACATTATAGTCTTATGAAATTTGATAAACACAATAAAATGCATTTATTAAATTTTCTAAAGAACAAGAATAAAATATTTTGGTTCAATGAAACACCTTATTCTTAGATATACCTGATTAAAGACGTGATTTTAGCCAAACACTCTGCTGGAGAGGGAGGTTGGTCTTCTAGAGTTCCATCTCCTCCTTCCCCTGTGGATGTATTACCTTGGACCAAATCCTAAAATGGCAAGTTAGTTATTTACCAATTTAGAAAAATTACATGAACCTGAATTTGATAGGTTGAGTGATTTTTTTTTAATACTGATTGTTTATCAAACAGCTCTACACACACACATAAAAACTGTCATAAAAGCCAGTACTTTACACTTCATCAACAAAAAAATATCTGTACAGCCTCAAATGAAATTAAATGATACAAATTTTTCACTGAAAAATAACAATACATACAAAAACTGATATTGAAATTAATCCTTTTTATATAGTTATAATATAGAAGGTTCTATCTTTATAAATGGCGACTATAAAACAACAAACTTTGCAATTTAAAAATGTTTTGAATGGAAGAATACGATTCATTTAGTAAGATTCAACAGGTTTCTCCTAGCTTTTATAAACTATTTGTAGATGACGTTTGATCATCGCTAGCAAAAAACAAAACACACAAATTGTAGTATAATATATTATAACAGTTTTTGCAAGCTCTGACATTACCTCAGCATAAGCCTCCATATCCTCTAAAAATTGGCCCAAAAGAGTTACAGAGAAGTTAATATCTTCCACCCAGAACTGCTGGAAACTAATCAAAGCCTCAGATGTGTAACATGTAAGACTGTATGCTTGAGTAGAATCAATATGCCAACCAACAAGAATATCCACAGTATCCTTAATGTAACAGATATTCAAAAATTAGTCTACATGTATTAGACTATTCACTTTTCATTTATCAAATTATTTAAACAAATATCTTAAACTTATAATTATTAATATCTTTTAAATTTAATTCATCATTATGATTTCAAAATCACTTTTCAATCCTACAGATTTATAACTAGTCTATGTTTAATGTCAAATAAAATTCTTTTTACCAGCAATGACTTCAGTTATAGTAACTTTCCTTGATACTTGATACATTAACTATACTACTAATTAAGAAATAGTGTGTTAATACTTTAAACATATACATTCTCCTCAAGAGATAAGACAGTTGAGTGTTATTTAAAATGATTTATAACTTGTAAATCATCAAGACACGTTACAACAGCAGAATATTCATGCTGCACAGCATGTATAATAACTACATTTAAGCATTTTGTAGGTAGTGCAATATCACTGAACATTGATTGCTTTTGGGAAGGGCATGTAACAGCCCTTTCATATGCAAAATATTCATAAACTCATGTCATAAAGATGTGTTCAGATTTATAATTTCAAAGATTGGGATATCCTTTGTACTTAATGGCAATAGAAAATGAAAGAATATGGATAAACTTGGGACACCAGAACCAACCATAAAGAGACCTACAACAATTTGCACCTCAGCTGTGATAAGTACAGTGCAGCATCTTGTAAAATGCAAGAATCCATGAGCACAGTAGTTAGTTGCAAAAACTGTATACATGCCCTAGGCAACAGTAGACAACATAATCAAGAAGGAACTCCACCTGGTAAAATGACACATCACATGTACAAAAGTTGTTTCCACAACATATCCATTCAACTGTTGCATAACTAAGGCAGCTGGATAATTAAATAGGTATTCATGCTATTCCATACAAAAAATATACCAGTCAAATTACTGGACACATAACCTGTGGATTTCTGTATAATTGGACTGTTGAAACAGCCACTGGGAAACCACATTCTCATACACTAGATAAATTATGGAAAGTAAGCAAGGAAGAGTGGTGTGCTTTGGACATGGTGACCTTATAATGGAGCCTTTTGCAATAGAAACTATACTGCAGATCTATTGTAAAGACAGAGTATGATTGAATATGTCAACTTGAACTGGAACAAAGTGGTGAGACTCCAAAATCATTTTAATATAACAATCTGTGTGTTACTTTATTCTATTCAAAACTATAATTAACACTTCAGTGATGTAACATTGGAGTTGATTAACTTTACACAGTTTCATGCCGAATGTCTAGGGCAAAGCAACATCTTCATGCTTCTATCATATGAGGGTATCATTATACTCTGGGTAAGATGCAGGCATTCCTGCTTACAAGAAATGAAAATTTTATTTGCTTCTAATTAAACAGTGCTTCAGCCAACATTGCATACTAACATATTTAAAAAAAGCTAGAACTTTTCTACAGCAGAAGAGTAAATATGAACATCAGCTAACAAATATCTCAAAGATCATATGTTTTCAAGGTTTTCCACTTAAAGATTTACTAGAATAAAAATTAACATAGTTTTTCACATCAATTATTTTCTGAATGATATTGACTATAAGAGTGATTTTACAGCAAGTGTAAGCCACAGGCAACATATCCATCCCTTGAAATAATATCAGTTTGCTGCATCAAATGTGGATATGGGACCTACCAGATATTATGTACTTTTATAATGAAAAACAATGTTTCCTAATACCTACTTTTCAAAAATTATTAATCCTACTATAACCTATTAACTGTTTTTGCCAAGTTATAAACAAGCTTTGGTAGATCTTAAGTGTTAAACACTAATTGCAGTCATACGTTCAAGAACTTGAACTACAGCAATCAAATAATTTTTGATTTAGAGGAACAGGATGAATACCTAAAAAATGACACAAAATGAAATAATTAATCAGTTACATTTTTCCTTAAATTATATTAGGCACTTACGAAAAAAAAAAAATTAATTTCTGAAGTTAATGCAATATTTCAAAATGATTACCAAATTACATCCATAAAACACAGTAATAAAATGTTTACAATACTTTAACATCCCTTAAAATCATACTTATACAAAATAAAACTCAACTACGTCTTTAGCCTACTGTAAAACAACATCAATACTTTCAACATACTCTGAAATGACCCCTAAATATGGAAGGAAAAGTCTTAGCAATGTCAATAATCACATCCACAACAGCAACAAGTAAGTCAGGAAGATCTGCATTCTCCAGTGTTGACTGTGTGTGTGTCATGATCATCTGAAAATAAAGACAAACATCTTCAATCTTTTCAATACAATGTTGATACTGCAACTTAGTCTTTATAATTCAATAAAAAGCAAAGATAAAAACAATTTCTAAATTTGTATCTTCATTTTTTGTCTTAATACAAGTTAAAAAATATTCATTTTTCTTACTATATCAAAATATTTAAAATACTGATAACATCAACTAAGAGAGGTGAATTCATCCCTTATTTCTACAAAAAATCAAAACATTCTAAATTAAAATTACCACAACACTTGCATGATTTTTAATGTAACCTAATTTTATATTACCAACAAATTAATAATCAGTTTCTACCAGTAAACATAATAAGGATACTGATTGTGGGGAGAAAACAAAACTATGAATGCACACAGATTTGCAAGCCTGTGCAATGATACATCAAGTAATGTTGCTAAGTTTGAAACTAGATTTTTAACAATTTTTAATCTTTAACAGTCTTTTACCAAGTACTTAAAATCATAAGGCCAACTCAGCAAATACAGCAAGAGAGAAAAGTATTTGAACACCAATAAAACATCTAGTTAAAATAGCTATGGGTAGATTTTCAAATAACTAAGTGCCTTCAAGAATAACATTATTCTATGGGCTGTAGTGCCTCAAGCTTTACAATTCTATATTCCCAGAGATTATCTCAATACTTCTTAGAAAGTAAAGTTATTTACACTATTTGTTGGTCAAATCAGCCGAGTTCATGACTGCAAATTGACCTTTATAGTTTCCATACTATAACTTGTAATATGTTTTGTGTATCTTCATAAGCCTTCAGTAATCATTAATGAAGCATTTTTACTAAAAATTTTTCCATGAATATATGGAGTCAAAGTGTTGACTGCTCCAAGTACATCTGGAATATCTCCAAAACCTCCTAAATAATTTAAAATATTTTTCAATAAAACTTTAATATTCTATCTGTTATTGAATCTATCCTAACTTTACATATAAGGTCGGTCAATTTGACTGATCTCGTAACCACCTTTAAAAAATTCAAAATAAAACTAAATTACCTTTTTTTTTTCTTTCTAGAATGAGTTCAAACTGAAATATGGAACTACATTTCTTTATCCTAAAAAGCTTTAAACTCATAACAGTATACATCTGTTAAGTTTAATTTTTATTGTTTTATTGCCCTTTGAATTGTATCTAATTAATATTTGCACTATACAAGTTGTAAATCATTTGCCAAATGTGTAGCTCACATTACCCTATCAAATTACACAACACACTGGCTACTCACAAGCTGCTCATGAGCATTCCTCATGAAAATTTATTATTATTTTTCTTTATTTTACCTGATCTAACCTAAAAAGTTTCTAATTGTTACATTTTAGTTACTTTTATAATATTGAATAAAGAATACACATACAAAACAAGAAATAAAGTACTTACCTGGGTCTTCTTTTTTTTTGCTGTCAACTTTTGTTCACATTTAACCCAACTTTTTTTTTTATACTAATGGTACTACTGCACTAATAATTTTTATTTAATTAAATAATGCACCAAAGAACACAGAATAATAACATGCAAAATGCAAACAATGTTTCACAACTACCACATTTTTTTTTGGCTTTCTAACAATGTGAGAGCTTTATAACTATGGTTATAAATAATATAGTATTAAATGTCAGAGAACTATTGGCAAATTTTGAGACAGGGTGTGACAAGAAGGATCTGATTTTCTATTTTATTGCACTGTAACTAAATACACTGTAAGACTATGAAAATTATGCTTTGCCTGAGTGGTGACAATATTATAATGAGTTCATTTATGTAAATAAACTTTTATACTTCTAGGTGGGGTGGTAAATAAATTAGAGAAGAGGGGATGCCTTGAGAAAAACTGTCAAAATTATCATACTAGTGCAAATTCAGGATTTTTTTAAAATATTGCCTTATAAAATTAAGAACTTAAAATGTATATACCATTAACATTTAGATTATTACCTGCATTTTATTCTATATTTATTTGCATATCATGATAAGAAAGTAGTTTAAATTTTGAGTGTAACTTACTAAAGCTTTGTGACAGGTGCAGAGAAAAATGCCCAAAGCAAAAGTGTTAATAGCTTTAGCTTTCATCCTATAATAACTGGTGATCACTTAACCTTCATGCAATTAACTTACCATTTTACAATATCATAAATTTAAACATATGGTTTAAGTTCAATGCCAAAAATCTTTCAGTTATCAAATGTGATACTATATAGTCACAAACTAACTACATATATCTACAAGCTAAGAAAACTGGAGTGTTGTGAACACAAAACATTACAGTCGCACACATACTGACTGACCAATTATGAGTAGAACATGAATCTAGAACCTTCCTATCATATATTGACCAATTATTTTTGTATGGAGATATGCTCTTAACAGAAAAGATAATAGAAACTGATAAACATTTAACATTAAATACATTTCAAGCTAACTAATAACAAGTCAACCATATATCATATGGAAGCCAACAGCACTAAAACAATTTACTGAATTATCAACTAAACACATATTTTAAAAAGAATCAAATAATACAAAAAGAAATACAAATATGAGTCAACTTACTGGCATCAGGTTCTCCAGTTCACCAGAGACTTTATCTTCTTTCAAGTTCTAGTGAGATATAAATAAAACAAGTAAATCAGTCAGTTACATATAAACAGTATTATACATATACAGACATAAACAACACAAATGTAGTTTATTTTTTTACATTATTAGATATAAATCAAATATCAACTTCAGGCCTAGGTCCACCAGTAGATGTACCTGATGAAAAGACATTCTACCTCTCAAAATTTCACAACACTGTTGATGATACTTGGTTGCTTTTGTAATTATCAAAGTTATGTTACAAATTTTGTACTAATATATATAAATGACTCTGTAAATCTATTATAATAATACTCAGTTTTGTCTGTCACAAAAATGTACAAATGTCTAAATGCACTTCATTTCAACGGATGTAAACAAACAACAGATGTAATTGTAAATATACTTTAGTAGATACTTTGTACAACATATTAAATGTTTATCAAATTCTTAAAAATGTCTAACATTAGCTCATACAAGATTATTCTCTGATAATATTAAGTACAATAAAGTTTGGCCCTAAATAAACTAAGGCAACAAATATACACAATTTACAGTGTTAATTTACCTCTATTAAATATAGGCCATACTTAATAAAGGCTTAACTAATGTTAGGCCTAACACAAATGGACTTGGAGATATCAGAACCTGTAATTAGAATTATTTTATATTGTTACAGAAATCCTGTATTTAGAGAAGTACTGTTGCAATAAAAACACTAATGTGACCACAAATGTTTTACAGGTCTCTGCTACTTTAAAAAGAAATGTTAATAACTCTTTAAAGTCTGATGTCTGTGCTTACATTCATAATCTGATGACATTTCTTTTTGTTACACTGTCTACAATCATTTTATTACAATATTACAAAGATTCAAGTTTCTTTTTGTAGGTACATATGTGCTAACTCTTCCCTATTCTGTACATAGTGTCCAGTAATTATAATAGTTTCTTTATATGTTCAATCTTACATCTTCTGAAGCTTCTTATTAGGACAAAATAAATGAAAACATACAAATAATAGCAGTTTGAACTACAGTGATCATAGCTATTGAGTAAAATTTGTATACACTTATGCAACTGCTAATTTTAAATACATACAGTTCTAAGAAGAAAAACACACAAACATCTAAATATTATGTCTATTTGTAAGACAGATGACAGTCATACATGACTCACATAAACAATAAAATTTTCTCTGTTCAAATTCCAATTGTTACAACACATACAATTCTTATTCTCTAAAGATATGTTAAAATGACAAAAATTTCATAAGATAGCAAAATGGGCTTAAAAATTATGAGGAGATACTACATATATCAGACACTGAGTAGGATTAACTTCTTTTTACGGGTGACTTAGGCAGATGATTCAAGATGAGCAAACAAAGGTGAAATTGTCAGTAAATGCCTAGTCCAGAGTGACAATTGTAAGTTAGTACAGAAAATCTTGGAAGAATAAACTACAAACAAAAATCACTCTGAACTAAGCAGTTGCTGCCCATTTCACTTTTGTTTTTTCAGAATGAAATTGTTTAGCCTTAACTAAATATATGGTTTTTCAATTTTGAAATAGTTTTGCAGAGTCTTAGAGAATAACTTTGTATTCAATGTTACATCAGATTTTAAATTTCAAATTATTCTTTTTACATCTTTTTTTAGTAGCAGCAATAAAACAATTATCAAATATACAATGGAATTGAAGATGTTTCCTAAGGATTTGGATCAAAATATGATCAGTTTTTCCTGAATATCTTATATTTATGCTTTTAAATATTAAGCATTGGAACAAGTTAAACTTGTAAACCTTGTTGAAAACATTTTTCCTATAAACTACATAATTATATCTACAAGGCCTATTACATAAGGGATATATAGAAATAGCAGCAGTAGTTTCAAGAAAGCTTACCTCATGCAGTGTTTTGACTAATAAAATCCGGTATTCATCAGATATTGTTGAGTTACAAGTGTTGAAAATCCATTGGAAAAAGCTATGAAAACAAGAGGTCAGTATTAACTAGCTTAAAGTTTTATAACAAAAGACATTCATTATGATGAAAAATCTTCAAATTCCCTATTAAACATCAAATGCTGTGCACTATCCACAACTGGTCATTTCTAGCTAAAAATAGCAACTTTTATTTACTTCTCCATTTTTCATTCTTCTTCTTATTATTATTAAAACCCCACTTAACATAATTAAAATATGAGTACAAGAGATCCAAAATATATATTCTTAAGATACTGAAATTGACTCAGAAGTTCTAGTGTTTAAAAAATGTATTCTTCTTTCTGGACCTGAAGAAAATTCAGCTCTTAGAATGTACTGAAGCTTCTAGGTTAATCTGTATTTTTGGAAATAGATTCTACTAACAAACAAATGCACTCATTTTACAATAATAATACATCAAACAGTCCTAATGATTTTAGTTTGTTGCTTACCTTTTAGCTTCAGGTCCCAAGAGTGTTCCTATCATTCCCAAGCAGGATACAATCTCCTGTTTTACACTATGATGTAATCTGAATAGAAGAAAGTACCATTGCAAAGATACCTTAATTACAAGAGTATAAAACATTCATAAAATGCAGACAATACACTTTCAGTAAATCTCTCAAGTTGGTGATGTATGTGTATCTAGAAAACAAGTGTCAGTCATTTGTCTTCAAATCACATACATAACAATGTAGTAGTAGAAATAACTAGTATAACATGAACATGTGGACTCTAAACAATGCACTATACAGCTGTAAAGTTTTAGTAACACTTTTATATGCAAGAACACTAATATATGGAATTTAAAAAATAGACTACAATTCAAACAATCCATACCTAGACTCAAAAATTTAAAGTTTCAATATTAATTCATCTCTAGTCCTTTTAATACACAAAAAAGGTTATATATACACATACACACCTAATGCATATATCAACCTCAATATTATTCATGGATGCATAAAACTTAGATAATGTAAGCTTCTGTGAAAAAAAAAGTAACAGAAGGAAAACATTGTAGTACAATGACAAACTGGTAATGTATTAATAAAATCTGTATTTTTGAAAAATATGAATCTCATTCATTTTTGCTCTGTATTCAATTAAATAATCAAATATTCTTAAAAAGATAATCAAGTTATATTCAAGAATTAGTTATAATAATAATAATAATAATAACTCGCCATTTATTATTTACAACTATTTGCTTCATGATTAACAAATCAAGAAATGAAGTTTCAACAAAGTAGCAGCAAATTAAATTCAAAATTTACTTTTTTGAATATTGATATATGAGAATATACTGGTACAAAAACAAGAGTGTTTAACCTGTTTGAATTTACTTGTGTATTATTATTAGTTATTTCACAACAGTTACCATCTGAGACACTCAGAATTTGTGAAATGGATAAATATTGAACTTGTTTCATAAATAAGATTTTTTTATGCAATGCATATTCACTTCAGAAATAAGCCTAAGTTTTTCATATGAAGTTCAATAAAACAGCAAATCAGTGGATGTATTTTTGAGATTTATCAGCTTCATTCTGTATTATACCATTACTTATGTTGAGTTGCTAAGAGTGTAAGAAATATTACAGAAACGTTTGAAGGTAAACAATTTCAAAACACAATTTTAATTGGTTTGTATTTCTGAAACGAGAGTACAAGAAACCGATATCTTAATTATGGAGATTTAGGGGCATTGTGGTACAAACATTTTCATTTTTGTTTACTATCTTTATCTTACATTTATGACAAGACACTGTGATAATTTACCAAAGCATGAAGTGTAAATTTGGACTTAAAAAAAAAAATTCTTAAAATTTGCTTTTTGTTGTAAAATATGGATTCTTCACATTTGGAAATTTCTATAAATAATCTGCCTGTATAGTGTATACTAATTTCTATAAATAATCTGCCTGTATAGTGTATACTAATTTCTCAAATTAAGTGACATTTAACATTATCATTAATAATGGTAGATAAAAGAAAAATTAACTAATTTACTAGAAAATAACTGCTATGGAAAGGACCTTTCTATAAAACAATTGTGTGTGTGTGTGTGTGTGTGTGTGTTAGAACTGTTCTTTTTTTTTTTTATACAAGTTCTAACTTTTTGCACATTTGTTCAACAAATGTTCATATAGAATATTCACAAATCAACAGCAAAACTATATAAAGCAATTCTGAGAATATGTGCTTAGATGAAATATTTAAGAATAAAACAAAATTTTCAATAATAGTGTCATCCATCTCTATATTTGCATTCAACTTTTTGGTATGTCAAATAGTTCTACATGTAAAACAACTGGTCAGCTAAAATGATATGAAGGGTGGACCATTGTTTAAATTGCAAGCAAGGATTCACTCTAAGCTTTATATAGTTAAGGTTTCACTACTTAAGACAACAAGTAATAGATGGGATTTCCTAACAAACCAAAAGCAAACAACACCACTCAGTGATACAGTGTTTACATAATGATTGTTTTGCTGTATTTGGAATAATCTTGTCAACATAACCAGCATTAAAATAATAATACCTTTTAAATATCCTAACTGTAATGGTTGATAAGGAATGTTCAAAATGACAACTTTAGAGAGAATATGACAAGCATATAAAATGTGTCAGAGCACCACAATTACTCAGAGAGTACATGTAACATTTACAGCATTATAAGTTTGCAAAATATATTAAGAATAAATAATAGGTATTATGTTTTTGGTCATACTGACACAGAAGAAAGCTGTAGAAAGTAAATACTGAAATTATTATTTAATGGTTAAAAAAAAATGGACACAAATTTGGAGATTACAGTAATAATTGGAACCTTTAAACCTAATATCTAGAGAAAAATGGCTTTAGTGATTAAAATGCAAATTCAATATATTTCTACTGTAAAAATTTTCTTTGATCCCACCCCTAGAACCATAAACTGCTTGTACTTCCTGACGTTTAAATGACTCAGATGAAGTCTTGAAATTGCACCTTTCCTGGTGTCCTTTATATAGGTGTCAAAATAAAAATATACTATAAATAAAACATAGTTTTAATATTAGATTACAAAGAGTTATAAAGTTCTTGTATCGGGGCTTTGTAGGATATAATTAATGAATAAGCATGTATAATTTTTTTTTTATTATTATTATTATTATTACATCACTTACCTGTGGTGGATCAACTCATCAAAAGTGTTGATAACAGTGCATAGGTTGTGAGAAACAGCCTGGAAAGTATTTGACTGGATAAATAATGGGGAAGATACAAAACATCAATTTGTAAAATGTGAAAATTCATTAGTTGAACATATGGGTAAACTCATAACTGATTTACAAGGAACAGAAAATAGTTATTTTTCTTGATAAACATATGCAATACCATGTATTATTCTGCTATTCCTAACAAATTAATTTCCTGATTTTTTCTAAGGTTTCCCAAGAAGAAAATTCCAAAAAATGAAACTGCAAAAATTCAATAAGATCAGTGTATCATTTAGATGTCCACACAACACCCAAAATTAATGCTAGGACATTTGTTCAGATAATTTACCCAAACTATCAGAAGAGAAAACGTATTTCAAAGGAAAGGTTCACTTCTACAACTAACAAAAGAAGAACCATGTCTTGCTAGTACAAACCTTCTTATATTTAAGGGCCAAATTCATGCTAGAGTTAAATTCCCTTAAAAAACAAACAAATTTCACATGAATTTTGCTTAATCGATTATCTTACACAACACTAAACAATGTAATTAATGTTCATAGGTAATTGATTATATCAACTAAATGAATTAATCATCCACCTCTAGTGACTGTTACTAAAAAAGGAGAATCACCAAGGATTATTTAGGTAAATGATTACTACTATACTTATAGTATGAAAACATTATTTACAAAATTACCTTGCACAGTGTTGTATAAAACAAAACAGGATCAAATCCAATTATCTTAAGTATTCAACAATTTCTAAAACAGATAGGATAACACTTCAGTATGATTGGTAATGGGTTATCTTAGCTCTGTATATAGGCTTGGTCACTTTGATCAATCTTACAACCACCAAGTATTTTTACTAAAGATTTGTCTGTAAGTATATGGTGTTAAAGTGTGACTCGGGCTGACTAGCATGAGAACAGGGGATTCTCATGTTAAGACTAAAAATATTTTTACCTGAGTTTTAAAATTTCATGTGCATAATCTCTAGAACCTTCTAAACCACCCAAAAAATCTAAATTACCCATCTTTCTTTCTTTTTCAAATGACTACAAATAGTAACAGACAATTATAATTATTTATCCTAAACAGTTAAAGGTTTGCAACAGTTTACACCCATTTTTATTTAATTTAATTTTTTTATTGCTTTTTGAACCATCTACAACTAATAATTCCACAAACTAATCACTTATTATTTAACTGATATCGAATAGAAACAGCAATAGAAACACAAGCTTTAAAAGTATAAAAAAACTTTCAGCTTAATCATTAACAGATCATCTTTTTTTTTGGAAAATGAAGTGTTTGAGAACACACACACACACACCTTATATACATGTACATTTTTATCCAGAGGCATCAAATCTTATTCAATATACTTTAAGTACATAATTAACCTTTATTGTTAAAAAGAACACTTTTAAAAGATTTACCTTCCACTGATATGTTATCTACATTATATTCAATTTTGTAACATTATGTGACAATTTGAAATGAACACAAATGTTCATTTTATATGCACAGTTGTTTTCTTGTTATCAATGGATGCTTACATGATGAGAATGCTGCATTCAACTTGTATCATTAAACTTCAGTTGTTTTACTTTGTTTATTATTACATGTTTTGCACCATTATCACCCAATGAGTAAACATTAATCTTCACAGAACAGTAAAAATGTTTTAGTTCACCTTGTAATGAATCTAAATTTTCATTTGTTTATTAACTCATTATTTTTAATACCTATATCTAAATGATATGTACATAGTTAAATTATGTATATTACAAAAACGACAAATATGTTGATAAGCCACACACAGCAGACAAAGGCAACTCTGAGTTTTTGAAATAATTGGCAACTTGTTAGACAAAACAATCATTGTAGTACTTTATCATCAATGATATATTTTCTAATCTTTGCACAAGTAAATACACTGATATAAAGATTCTAAACACATGAATACACTACTTACAAGCCTATATTGACCCACACTCTGCTTGTGCAATATGTCAAACATGTTTCAACCCATCATAGAAGGAAATCAATCCTAGATATTCTACCATAAATAGAGAATGTGGAATTTTGGAAGAAAGCAAGAAAAGTACTTACAGATACAATAAAGGGTCTCGCACCTAATGCTTTTGTCATTTTACATCATCAAATGTAGAAACAATTTTCCTTTCTCAGAGAATAATGCTTGAAGCTTTTTCGGTGACGAGGAACCCACTTTGAGACTAATAATGGCTGGAGACGGCTTGAATGGGTAATGAAGAAAAACTTTAATATAAGTTTAACATAACAGCAAATGTAC